AGAGAACAACTAGACCACAGTACCACCTATATGTACACACTTTCATTATCCTATATATATGTATATATAATATTGTAGGTACATGTGCATATATATGTGCACTATAAATGATAAGAATCGAGATTCCAAAAGCACACTGGATTCAGATCGTGAACATGGGCATATAAATATTTAAAAAACCGGAATCATTATATTACAATGGAATTACTGAAAGAGTCATTCACATTAGTTTTTCCAATTTTTTTTAGGAAATATAATTAGATCGAATATTCGGTAAATTTTGGAATTATAAAAAATAATAATAATTATTATTATTATTATTTATTCGAAAGGGTAAACGATAAATATCCGGAGAACTACACAAATTTAAATAAATTTTAATAATTATTCTAAAAATATCCATCGGTTTTACATTCTTCTGCAAAAACATACACATCCAAAAATGAGATCCTATTGGTTGAATCCTCGAGTGTATGGGGGAATCGAGACACGTGTTCCCACGAACAGAAAAGAAGGGTTCCAAGTCTGTGCCACGTCATCATCCGAGCTGGACCATTAGCACAAAAGGAGCCTAACAAATCTTATTAATGGCCAATAATTAAACATTGTATTTATTTCATTAATTACTATTTTCTGTCAGTGTTTGTGGTTATTATGCTCAATTACTTTGTGAGTGGCGATGTGCTATTAGTCTGACATTTACACGCACGCAGACACACTAAATGATTAGATAAACTACGAAATATTTAAATCATATCTGATAGATATTTTACAAAAAATATAAAATAGTGGAATTATGTATTCATCATTCTTTTGGATTATATCTTTTAATTTTTTTTCCCTTTTGGATGAGGAATATTTTGGTTCGACGAATATTGCATTAGCATCTAACGTAATTTTGAAATCAATTATACGAGCATTTTTTTTTTCTTTTTTTCATCGAATTTACCAAAACAAAAAATAATGTGACACAAGGCCGTAATTCACATCAGGAGAGTTTCAATATCGGACGTATCTATTTAAATTTAAAGGTAGTATATATATATATATATATATTTGGGTAACTGAGTATCCTAGACCGAAGCTTAGACTAATCCCGGGAACGGAAAGAAGCCATGTGAATACCTCCTTAGTCCTCCCTATCTTGGGGTTCGAACTCGGGGCGGGACAGACACTTTGCGCCCCGTTTCACCGGTTGAACTATCTAGGTTGAATAATTTAAAGATAATATTATGAGTACAGAAATTTAATTCAAGGAGTATATAATAATCAACTCCAAATTGTAATAAAATTTTGATTTAAATTGAATAAAAACCATCCATTTTTAGAATTGGGTTTGTTTTTCCATTTTTTTTATTTGAGGGAATGATGGATTTAGCATATCTTTGGGGAATTCCATCACGACCCCGCGATTGATTTGATGGTGTGTTGTTAGAAAACTAATATTTCAAAAGAATATTGCACACTTTCAGTATACACAAAATATTATAAGCATGACCTTTTAATAATATGAATACACCATTTTGTAATAATAATAATAATAGTAATAGTAATAAAACATGATTTTCAATTCATCATCTTCGATTTCCTTGAAGGACTAATCAACGTTGACCAACATTGACAAATTGCGTAAGATGACAAAATATCAAAATTGTAATATTTAGGTATCTTTCGGGGCTCACAGGATTGTATATTTTTTTTTTCTGTAAAAGACGAAATTTGAAGTTATAATTGTTTAAAATTTAACAAAATGAGAATTTTCAACATATATATACATATATGTATGTGTGTATGTGTTACCTTTATTGGTTAATGATGGAAAATTTATAGATATTGGATAAGCTGTGGCTTGTGGAAGATGAGCTAGCAATTCACACCATTTGGATGCAATAATGAAAGGATAAAATATGCTGATGTAACTATAGTGTTATGTATATATAATTTCGTTTAAGTTCTCCCTCATTATAACAATATTATAACCAAAGAAACGAAAAATATTTATCGAAATGTTCACTTTTTTTTTCATAAAATTAATATGATCTAATAAATACATATCTTGTTCATGGTAATTAATTATAAAAAATTTCAATAATTCAAATTTAAAATCCATTTGCTCATACCATACAGGCATTCATCACATATGTGTGTAAGCAATGAACCATGTCCATATATAGAGGCTCTTTGACAATATAAATGGTTGGTCAATTTGTATAAGGTAAATGCAATTTTGGTGGTGTTGAATTGTTATAATGATTATGAATAGAACAAATATTCTATCTTTAGGAATTGAGCTTTGGAGCAAAGCAATTTGATAAAAACAATTCCATCTAAGGAATATTCTCTTCAATAGATTCCTTTGTTCAAAGCATGATCCCTTTTGTAGGCCATTTGTTGGGAGAGAATAAGAGAGGAGAAAAAAAAAAAAAGAAAAGAAAGGTAATTAAATGAAATTGTATACTTCGTAATTTGCTTTGCAAAAGGCTAAAGAGGTTATACGCATGATTTGAAACTTAAGCAAATTATAATTACCTTTAACAAAAAAAACTTAAGCAAATTATTGGCATCATTAGAACGCATGGAGCTAATGATAGCTTGGAGAGGGAGCATGGACGAAAGCTTGGAACCTACGAAACTTGGAGCTCAACCGGATCGCATGGAGCTAGGAGCTCAACCGGAGAATGACGTCC